CACACACACACACACACACACACACAGTGGGCCCGTGGAACAAGCAAGAAACCCCAGCATCCCATATCTGCATGTATTCCACACACACACACACACACACACACACACACACACACACACACGAAGTGGTCTTACACATTGATAGGCTTATTGTTTACGGGAGTCCTGTTTTCATCCTACTAATCCTCATCATTTCAGGATTCCCTTTTATTTTTATTGAAAACTTTACTTCTCAAAACACACTAGTTTAAAAAAACACATACTAGTTCTTTTAGCTTTTTGGTTTTTGTTTTTTACTTGCTATTGTGTGCCTCCACTACCCCACTGGATGTTTTAGCTCAAGGCTTCCTCAAAGAAAGAGCCCCTGGAAGCCGATCGCGTCACTCTGCAGAGTGGGACCTCCTGTGGCCCCCGCCTCTTGGTCGGATGGGTAGAACTGTCCCAACGCCCCTCCTAAAGCCAAACCGACTGCGCGGAGGGGCAGGCCCGCAGGAGGCACGCGACAGAACGCGATCCTGGTGCGAGGCTCTCAGCGGAGCAGGTGTGGCTTCTCGGTGTCGGTGGGTCCTGGTTCTCTTGACCACTAGAAGTCCCGCCAGGGCAGAAATCTACGCATCGGTGAATGCTGGGCCGAGTGACTCAAAATGAGCTCACAGCCGCCTCGCCCCGCCTGCGGGCTGGGTGTCAGAGCAGTTTCAGTGGTCGTCTTTTGGAAGCAGATTCCCAGTCCTTTTCCCCAAGAGCTTCTGGGTGGACTTGAACGGGCAGCCTTTTGGTTCCCGGCTCATTGACGTCATCCTCCCGAACCCCTCGCCAGCAGGTTAGCCCCTCCTGATGAAGAGAGTAGCATGTGCTTTGGTTTTTCATGGTTTTTCACAAGTTGTACAATTAAAATGAGACGTAGACACTATAGAAGTATGCCTCCAAGATCCTAGGAATCGCTCATCCATGATAGAAGTCTGCTGACGCCAACACTCGGGTGACAGGTTGAGTCTCCCCTCAGTGCTTGAGCCTCTCTACTCCGTGCCTCCGGTATTGTGCTTGTTATATTGTGCTTATTATAGACCAGACCTGGAGTCCTGGGATGGACAGCTTCCTTCGAAGTGACCAACCCAAGCAGAAATTAAGGAGCGTTCTGGTCAGAGTCTATGTAGTTTGCCATTAGCAGTGGGCTGAAGTGAGAAATGGGTTTTCTTAGTGGCCTGATTTAAGCAACAAGAAGTAGAAGCAATGACTGCCATCGAGTCACAGCGACCTTATAGGACAGAGCAGAAGTGCCCCTGAGTTTCCACAGAAATATCTTCAGGGATCTCGTCTTTCTGCTTCAGTGAGGCCAGAGCGCTCAGCCTACTGACCTCGTGGTCAGTAATCCCACACATAACCCACTATTGCCACCAAGCCTCGCGTGGTTTTTAACACAAAGGGCTACTTGAAGACTGAGCATGGGGAGTGATGACAGTGGAATCGGGCAGGCAGCTGACACGTTTCTTTATTTTATTGAAGAACCGGGACAGAGAAATAGTCCCTTCTGGTTTGGCTGCACAGTACAGGCCGCATCTCCACCCCAGCTACACCCAGTCAGGGTCTACGTGGCCGCAAGAGCGGAGGGTGGGTCCTGTTTCCATAGATCTTATCAAGGTGTGCATTCTGTCCGGTATGCTGTTCATAGCTACCACTCTCTCAGCCACCCTGTAGACAACAGCCCAAAACACTACCCCGTCCTGCACCATGAAAATGCACATTCTCCTGTCTGAGTCTCCCTTCACCCACTTTTCTGTTGTCCGTCCCCCAGGGAGGAGGTCACATGTAGATCCTTGTAATCGGTCCCCCCTTTCCAGCCCAAGATATGACATAATAATTTCTAAATTATCAAGGGCTCATGAGGGAGGGGGGAGCGGGGAGGGAGGGGAAAATGAGGACCTAATGCCGGGGGCTTAAGTGGAGAGGAAATGTTTTGAGAATGATGAGGGCAATGAATGTACAAATGTGCTTTACACAATTGATGTATATATGGATTGTGATAAGAGCCGTATGAGCCCCTAATAAAATGATTAGAAAAATAGAAAGAAAAAAGAAAATGCACATTCTCATCCGGAGCTCAAACTACAATGAACCAGTTCAAAGTCCTTCACAGAATTCACCTACTTGGTCCCGAAGGCCTGTCCCAGCCTGACTCAAATAGGGTTGAATCCAGACCTTCAGAAATAGTATGATTTCTGCTTCTTTTATATTAAAATGCTTTTCTGCTATGTACATCAAGAATCAAAATGTTAAACCACAGATAAAAATTAGTTTTATCTAATTAGAACATGATTTCTAGAAATTGGCCCAAATTAGCCACAGTTGTGGGAAATCCACATAATCAAGTAGTTACCGTCCTCAGAAATATAAATATGTAAAGGGATCTGTGCAGACAAGAACTATTTAAAATCTTGTCTCCAAGTACTAATTATATAGATAATTTTATTTGCATATTAATTGTATGTGTTACTCGGTGTCAGTCAGAACAGAAGAGGGTTCTAAGAACAGAAACATCTGGTCAGACACAGGCACCGAGCTGAGTAAACCTATATTAAGAGGCTTGTTTGACACAATGATTTACTTAGACACCCTTCATTAGACAGTGCATATAAACCACTATTTAGCTTAAAGCATCTGCGTCTCATTTTTTCAATTTCAGAAAATTAAATTACTGAGACAGATTTGGTTTGAGAAGTAGCTTGCTTGCTTCTTTGTTATTTATACGTTTGCAAAAATCATAAAAATTGAGCCCAGAAAACACACACGATGCATACTCTAACAGAGAAAACACACACGATGCGTACTCTAACAGAGAAAACACACACGATGCGTACTCTAATAGAGAAAACACACACGATGCGTGCTCTAACAGAGCAGAGCAGACGGTGTGCGATCGTCTATAGGAAAGCACTGCTACTGGACTGAGCCCAGAAAGGCAGACGCCGTATAGCAATCCGTCTGTTAAAAATCCTCGTTTCACGACTAATCTTTTTATAGTTTAGTCCATGTTTAAAGTTGTCTCTCCTCTGATCAAAAGTTTAAAATTAAAAGATCAAGAGTTGTTAAAGGCAATTCAGAAAATAATTAACTAGTCCTCTAATAGTAAATCTTTAAAAATACAATCCAGCCAAATCGTATTAGAATCCACAGAAGATTATGTGAGATATGCAAAAAAGATACGCACCCAACTGACACAGAGGTGATCACCACTTCTTGTTAATGTCTAATTACGTCATAATGCTCAGTCAGACACACTTTCCTATCCCAAATATATTCAGGGTCCTAGCAAGTACGTGTTCCAATTAAATAAATCGTTACAATGTGCCTCGTCATTCATTCGTGTCTACAGCTCGCACATCTATGACGTGGAGACATGCGCTGAGACACAGCCATGGAGTGCAGTGCCTATTACAATTGCCCAAGCAGTGTTGACCGTGGTGGGAGGCAGCAGAGGGTGGAGCGGAAAAGAATGGGAGCAGGTCGGCTCCCATGGGAACCGCAGATTGGCCATTGAACTTTGGCCATTCCTTTCACTCCTCATCCATCACATCTGCAAGGTCGGGATCAGAAACATCCACAAGGACACCCTGTGGGATACTAGGAGCAATCCTCCGTAGCTCCCTCTCCCGTCAAAGAAGAAAGGAGCGCCTTCAGAGCGTGTTCTTCTGCACAAAAATAATGTGTCGCAGATGCCAGGAAGCCCAAGTCAGGAAAGTGTAGTTCGATGCCCGGCAGTCCCATGAGAAAGTGATGGGAGGCAAGGCGCTATCTGCTCAAAGAAGGAACTCCCGTGGTGTATGGTGTAGGTGGTTGGTTCAGTGTGTAGATGCTCATAGGAAGGTTGGTGGCTCAAACCCACCAGCAGCTCCCTGGGAGAAAGATGAGGCTGTCTGCTTGTGTACAGGTTCAGTTTCTGAAAGCCTGAGGAGGCCTTCTACTCTCCCTGATAAGGTTGCTAGGAGTAGGCGCCAGCCACCACTGCTGGTTTCACACACCAGGTTTTAAGGTCCCATTACAATGGCTCTGCCTTCCTGAAATGTCCTTCCCCATGGTGTGTGCACACCGCGTGCACGCTCCCCGACACACATGCCTCTAACAGTCAACTACACAGGTCCACAACCCTCTCAAAAACACCTTCCTTGTCGCCGAATCAATTCCAACTCACAGCGACCATACTGGACAGGGTGGGGCTGCCTCTGCAAGGGTTTGAGGCTGGATCTCTTTACAGGGGCAGAAAGCTACAGCCCACCCGTCTTTGAATTACTCTGAATTCTGCAGAGAGGAGGGGCCTGGAGGCTAACGCACTAGGTTTCATTGTGCTACTTTTCTGGACCTCTCACCTGCCCTCTCACCATGGGACACAGGCTTCCCTGAGAGTTGGTCGGTGGGGCCCACCTCACCCCCGCCTCCATCGACTAAGGCAAGCCCAGCGTTTCTGGCAATGCGATCATAGCCATGAGCCGGGCGTGTCCAGCTTTGAATAGCAGCTCCTGCATGTGACCAGTTACGTCACCTTGGGGGATCGACTGAACTTCGGTAACAAGGGCAGTGATAATAATGGCGCCTGGTTAACAGCGCCGATGGCCCCAAGGCGTGTTCACTACCAGGTGCAATGAGAGGAAGCCAACAGGGAGCGGAGTGCTGCCGCACAGGAGAGACTCGATCAGCACTATCCATTTGTACGACTGAATCCCCAGTGATAATTATGGGTTCATCTGCATTGGGGGCTCTTTTTCCCCCACAAATTAAGCAAATTGTGGAGCACTAAAATAAGATCTGAGAGGAACTCATTCAGTCTCAGCTGCTTGAGCCTGGCTGCTGGTTCGTGGAGGCACTCGAGAACCTTACACCTGGCCTGAGTTCTTCGTGTCTCGCCTTCGGCTCCTTCCCAGGCCCTGCCAGCCGCAATCCGGGCCCAGCTCGGAGTCCTCGCCCAGCTGCACTGGTGCCAAGGGTGTATTTCAGTCCACGTGATTTTCTTTGGCTGCTGTTATCACAAGAGCTAAATTGATACATGCAAGTCTAAAAATATTCTTTGATACACGCTTCCTGTGACTAATTAATACTGCCTGATGTGAAGAATCAACTTCGGGAGCCTGTCATTTTTCTTTGCCTGGATTCTTTTAGTTCTCCTAATGCAGGTGGGACAATGTCTACATGCCTTCCTTTCAGCTTAGGACCATGAATTCCATCTGCAGCAACCCCCCAAAATAGACGATCCAATCTGCCTGAGTTACAACGTGCCTCCACCTGGTCCCACAAATGTATTTGTTCAGCAATCCCAGGTTCATCATAAGTCAAAAGCAACGCACACAGTGAGTTCAATACAATGTGCATAATAATACACTTGTCAGCGCTGTTCATGGGAATTAATATTCATGCATAGTGCATGGTCCCATGTGCTAAATAAACTCTAATTAGGAGTCCGCCCCATTGGGGTACTGCATCGGAACTCAGATCAGCCAGTCAATCAGCAAGAGAAAACCAACAAGTCCAGTGGGGCTCAGTGGGCCACCCTTCAACACAATCAGACATTGACAAGACCACAGAGCCAAACCACTGCACGAGCCTAAGCCTGGCCCCGGGCATAGTGAGACCGTAGACTGTGACTCAGTTTCATGATTTGTTATACAGAGGCTCGTCCAGTGCTGACTAGGTACACCCCACTTTTCATATTGTATTCCTTTTGCGCTTGCCTCAATCCTGGGTGGTAGCTTTGCTCCCACCCTAAACATGAGAACCCTGAAGCCCGGTGACGTACACTCACTTGCCCGAGATCGTAGGAAGCATTGAGTAGTTGAGCTGGATGAGGGTCCTAAGAATGTCTGGCCAGAGAGCGGCCCTCTTCGCGCTGGCCAGTCAGTCCTTCCTTGACAAGACTTGTGAAGACAGACAGAGGGCATGCTACACAGGTGATCCAGACCGACTCAGACACCCGACAACAACCAGGCAGCCACCCCTGCCGTGAGACTCGGGGCTCACGAGAAGAAACATGGGCCGGTCACTTACAGAGAGAGTTCAGAGAGAATCACTCATTTCAAATGTTTTATTCAAATATTTCCCATGATCAATCACAGTTCATGACGCTATGAAAAAGAATAGATTGAGCGGAGTTTCTCTTGTGGGGATGGCCATCATTGTAAACAATTCTTGCCTTCCCGGTAAGCGACTCGCGTTCGATTCCGGGAGAATGTACCTCAAGTGTAGCCTTCACTCCTCTGGCGCCGGCGGCTTGCATGTCACTAGGATGCCCACAGGTTCCAGCTGGAGGTGACAGACTGAGAGGGTCTAGGATGAGTGAGCTGGTGACTGGCTTCCAGAACCTGGCAAGTGGAGCTTGTGGATGACAAGGGTGTCTCGTGCAGTGCCGGGCAGACTCCAGCAAAGCACAGCAAGCATCCTATACCCTGCTCTTCTGACTGTGCTGCAAGAGACTGACGTCCTGCCGGGTGATGGACACTCCCCAAAGCAAAGCGTGTGTGGCCATTTGGACCTACACTGAAGGCTGGTGACTCCTGGGCTCACTAAATTCTTCTGGCTACATTTGTCGATTCATTTTCCTTTTTGTCCTGTCAGCCGTCTCCGACTGATCCAAGTGTGCTTTCTTCCAGGGAGTCAGTTCTCCTATGTCCACTGTTTCTTCCAAGTTTTGTAAAACCGTAAGAAGGTTCACAATCAGATAGCCTGTTGCTGCTTGTCAATGGACATGATCATGTCCATTTAGTCATGTCAGCAGCTGTTTCATATTAGCACCAAAATGTCAAACAATGTTAGATTTACGAGGGAAAGACAAGAGGCATCCTTGTGAACGTCGGAGGAAAAGCAAGAATACCCTCTTCTGCTCTCATGTTGACCGTTGTTCAGGAAGTCTAGAGAACGCCATCAAGCAAGGAAAAAGAGAATTAAAGAGAAGAAGTAGAAGATATAGTTATTTGCAGAAGAAATAACTACACAGAAAACTCAAAGGCATAACTAACAAATTCTTAGAAGTAAAGTGATAGTGACTAAAAGATGTGAATGATTCCTGTTGAAAGTGACTAATAAGGTCAATAATAGTATGACCAGTGACTTTTTACATATATGGGTGAAGATGAACTCAACATTACAATAGGAGAAAAAGTTATTCACAAAGGTATTTTTTTTTAATCTCTGAACGATCATAGGTATGTAAATTTTATCAGAGAATAGAAAGTCCCTCGCTATTTTGTTTCTTTATTAAAACTTAGACTGCTCCAAATTGACGCAAAATTTGCTACAATCTCAGTCAAAACCCATTTTTCGCAGTTCAATTAAATTATTCTGTCAAACATTTATGAAAATCAGGTGAACTTACTCAAGAAAAAAAGTTTATAAAAATAAGGAGATGCTTTATCCAACATTAACATGTATTATAATTAACAACAATTTTGATTCTTACAGAAGAATGAGAAATTCTATCAATGGAGTAGAATAGAAAATCCAAAAGCAGACAGAATATCTCAAATATGTGTGTATAAATATAATGGTGATGGCATTTGAAAATAGTCGTTTGAAGTCAGGCATGCTTGCATTCAACTTCCACCATTTAAAAACAGTGCCACATGGGAGAAGACATTGAACCTTTCTGAGCAACAAATTCCCCACCTGTAAAATGGTGATGTTGACAGCACGAAATAAAACTGTGCACGCAGGGCAATCTCTGACACGCGTTAAACAAGCATAAATAAAAGTCAGTAGTAGTAGTATTATAGTAAGTGTGTGAATAATGAGCAAAGTCATTGATGAGCAAACTAATCAAATCTCAGCCTCATATACCAACCTAAACTAAATGTCAAATCGAGACTCCCCTTTTTGGACGCACGTGAACATGTCAGGGTGGTGTTCGGATATATAAGTCTGGACCTGGAATGCCAAGGGAAAGCCAGAGCTGGACATCCAGATATGGGCATCACCGCGTAACAGCTGATGAGGACTCTGTCGTACCAGAGGCTCCAGGGGCTGTGGTGACAATGAGATGTGATGACTCAGGACAGATGGACGTGTAGAACAGGCTGAAGACATGGCACTGTGACTACCTCTACCCACCCCGGTTAGTCTCCCCTGCCTTACTCAGTCTGAACCATCTTAGGCAAAGTCTAGCTCTGTACCCGTGGGCAAGCTATTTCAACACCTGGGGCCTCCATTGCCTCATCTCTAAAAGGAGAACAAAATGAATGTGCACAAAGTGGTCAGCATAATGCCTAAAAACCCACTACCACTGAGTGAATTCCTACTCTCAGCCGCCCCATGAGGTCCACCAGGCTAAGCGTTGACTACCATTATCATGATTACTATTGTGGCTACAGTGTCTGCCAGCTCTCCAAGTGTGAAGTTATAGGGGAAAACTACAGATGGGTACTAAAGGAGATCTATGGTGACCTGTGTTGTGTGTGTGTGTGTGTGTGTGTGTGTGTGTGTGTGTGTTGCATGCTTTGAAGAGGACAGGGGTCGATTGTCGATTAACAGCGGCCAATAATAATATAATGTGAGTCACATAAAGTAATCTCAAATGTTCCAGTGGCCACACTAAAAAAATAATTAAAAGCCACAGGTGAATTGAAATCCTGTATTTTATGTAATCCTGTAAATCCAAAATAGTATTATTTCAACAGGTGGCCAGTCTAAAACTCCTTGTGATATTTTACATCCTTTTTTATAACGAGTCTTTGAAATTCAGTCTCTATTTGATAGGTACAGCAATCACTAGGTCATTTCAGATGAGCCATAGG